GTTTTGTCCATTTGCAGGTTACAATCATTGAAGAATTAGTAGTTGGCTTTGAATCCTGTTTAAAAAGCTGTCGAATGTTTAGTGAAAACGGTGAGTGCTGCTTCTGCTGAATGTCTTTGGCACAAGTATAGGTGACTCCATATCATACAAATGAAATACAAAAGTGTGACTTGTATTAAATGTGTGTACAGATGATGGAAAGGAGGAGCCCCCCACCACCCTGTTGTGGGTACAGTATTTCCTGGCACAGCACTTTGACTTTATAGGCCAGCCCAACCTGGCTCTGGAGTACATCAACGCGGCTATCGACAGCACGCCCACACTCATCGAGCTCTTCCTCATCAAGGCCAAGATCTACAAGGTTTAGTCCACGCTCTACATACAGTCTACACAAAGTGCTCACATGTGGTTGCTACTCAGTGCGACTCCCTCCTCTAACCTGCTTCCTTTGCCCCACAGCACGCCGGCAACATAAAGGAAGCAGCTCGGTGGATGGACGAGGCTCAGGCCCTGGATACTGCCGACCGCTTCATCAACTCCAAGTGCGCCAAGTACATGCTCAAGGCCGGCCTCGTCAAGGAAGCAGAGGAGATGTGCTCAAAGTTCACACGGGTAAGAGAGCGAATTTGGGCTCACATTAAACTGAGGAGTTTCTACAATATCCTAGTAGTCGGGTCAGCGTGCGTCATGCAGGAGCTACTTATATGCATGAATTCTTTCTTACAAAGGGGAAGGGGATGCTAACTTTACATATCAAAGACTGCATGTGAGGCTTCAGTGTTTCCACTAGTCTGGTCATGGGTCCTCTGACACGTCACCCAACAGTTAGACTTCAGTGTAATATATTCCACAGTTTTTTCATTTACTCTTGAGGAACGCTGTTGTGACTGATGCAGGTTTTTATCAAGTCAAAGTGAGAAATGTAACCCCAGGCTTTGTGCAGTTAAGAAGATTCCCTGAAAATGTTCTTGCACATGAAAACACACCAACCCAGCTGTTTAGAATAAAGCATTTCCTTTTTCACTTCAGCTCACCTCACTGTGCTCAGTTTCCCATTGGCTACGTGATCTGATTGGAGTGTGTGTGTGTGTGTGTGTGTGGTTTCAGGAGGGGACGTCTGCTGTGGAGAACCTGAATGAGATGCAGTGCATGTGGTTCCAGACAGAGTGTGCCTTGGCCTACAAAGCCATGAACAAGTTTGGGGACGCGCTGAAGAAGTGCCATGAAATCGAGAGGGTGAGTTTATTCTTCTCAGCGGCAACTTGTCGCTCCGAGTATCCAGATAATATTTTTAGAGACCGTTGTTTACGCTCCTCCTGATCTCTTCCAGCATTTTGTGGAGATCACAGACGACCAGTTCGACTTCCACACCTACTGCATGAGGAAGATGACGTTGCGCTCCTACGTGGACCTGCTGAAGCTGGAGGACGTCCTGCGGCAGCACCCGTTCTACTACAAAGCTGCTCGATCCGCCATCCAGATCTACCTGGCCCTGCATGACAAACCTCTGACCGACGACAACAAGGAGAGCCAGGCAGACACCGGTCAGTGTGTGTGTGTTTCAAACAGCAGCACTTGTGATAGAACACCTCAAATAGCTTGTAATAATATATCAGATAACACCTCTCACATCAGATTTTCTGTTTAGTTAAAAATGCCTGTTTGTGAAAAATGCCGTCATCTTTTTGAAAGCAGCCGAGAGACTGTCTGGTTGCACGACTTACATTTCTCACATCACTCCTCCACACTCTCTGTATTTATCATAAAACTTTGCCCATTTGCAAAAAAGCACGTACACACATTAGTGCCAGTTTTGGCAACTGGTCTTGATTCGGTTTTGGTCTTTCGGTGAAAATGTGCATCAGTATTCATCCATTTTTTTGTCATTTGAAAAACTGAAAACATTTTTCCTCGGTGACATTCTTAGCCTCATGTTTATCTCTTCACACTCTGCTTTGTAAATTCAGTCATATCGGATCTCTGAGATGCTTTCTCTCTTTTTATATTCTGCCCACCTAGCATGAGCATTGCCACAGCTAAACTGCATTTGCTAATAGCTTGTTGGTGTTTACGGTGTTTATGCTCTGGAGACAGTTAGCCTGAGGTTTCAGTTTCCTCCTTCACCTCTGGAGGTCTTCAGGTAGTGGTAGCAGCATAAAGTGCAGTTCTATAACGTGATGCTTTTGTGTTGTTTCCTTGTTTGTAAAAGAGTGATTGTGTTTTAGCATATCTGAGAAAAAACAGACTGTATGCAGATGTACAACACGCCTGCTTAGAAAACGTGCAGAATCTCAGAAGCAGGTGTGACTCCATTTGCAACCAGAGCATCGTAGTGACCTTGAGAAGTGGTACTGAGGTCCTACTTTTTGCTCGGAGATCGTTTTCATCCAGAAACTTTCAGGCATACAGCGAGTGTCAAAAACAGTCCAAGACGATCAAAAAGGTGGCACCTGGGCTCCGTGAAGTTCAAGGGCTGCTCGCTCACATTTGTGCCCGGTAGGAGACGTGGACTTAACTGACTCTGGTGGCAAGTGGCCACTAGGGCAAGATAGCAGCATCCATATCTGCGTTATTTTGGTTTCGCTAGAGTTTGTGACACAACCACAGTTTGGTGACCGCGCCGATTTAAAAGTAGTGTACTATTATTAAAACAAAAATTCAATTTGTCATCTTGCTCTTTTGTAGAGAATCTGACAGACAAGGAGCTGAAGAAACTGCGCAACAAGCAGCGAAGAGCCCAGAAGAAAGCCCAATTAGAAGAAGAGAAGAAGAACGCAGAGAAGGAGAAGCAACTGAAAAACCAGAAGAAGAAAAAGGAGGACGATGACGAGGAGATAGGAGGGCCGAAAGAGGAGCTAATACCAGACAAACTGGCCAAGGTGGGCTCACGTTCACCTGTTCTGTGCTGGCCTGAATGGTAGCTGTCACAGATGACTAATGAAACGTGGTCGACTTGTTTTACCAGCCAGAGAATCCGCTGGAGGAGGCGGTCAAGTTCCTGATCCCTCTGAAGAACCTGGTGCGCAACAAGATCGAGACTCACCTCCTGGCGTTTGAGATCTACTTCAGGAAAGGTCAGACAGATCCTCTGGCCGTGTGTTTCCTCATTGTAACCCACTGAACTATGAGCAATTGGTGTTTTTATTTTTTTAAATTAATTTTACTTTGAGAGAATTTTTTATATAGTACACGTAGAATAAAGTGATTTGAATGAATTATCACAATGTTAAGCTCAATTTGGACTTTTTTCGTGATGGAAAGGTAAATCACACATTCCCAAAGAAGCTATGAATAAACTACAAAAACTGACTGTACATCTGTTCTCCCTCTTCCTTCAGAGAAGTACCTGCTGATGCTCCAGTCAATAAAGAGGGCTGTAGCCATAGAGTCTTCCAACCCGTGGCTGCACCAGTGTCTAGTACGCTTCTTCAAAGGAGGTGAGCATAACCCACTGAACCGAAGCCGTAAGTTTGTAGCAGCAGATTTTTCAGAAGCCTCATCGGGGTCTGTTCATGGTGTCTGCAGTGAGTGAGAGTGCAGACTTGGCGGAGGCGGTGAGGACGGTGCTGAAGCAGGAGATCTCCAGGCTGTTTGGGGAGAGCAACCCTCAGAGCTTCAACAAGAACTACCTGAGCCAACACTCGAACTCCATCCCACACCGACTGGCTGGTACACAGCGCACACACACACACACACACACACACACACACACACACACACACACACACACACGCACACACACGCACACACGCACACACTCACACCGCTGGTATGTGGGTTGATTTTTCTGTTTACTTTCAGTCAGCCTCAAAAACAGATGTTTAAAATGATTTGTGTGAAAGTCAGGTCTGCACACTGTTTTGTCCTCTGAATCTTGACAACAGCTGGAAAGTGCAGGACTAGCAGAGGGTCAGAGGTCACCGTGACCTCAGAAAACACTTTTATTTATTTTTATCACTTAGAAATTCAAACACTAAATGTTACACACAAATGTCTACAGGATGAAATGATGAGGCGAGTTTTGACAGCCAGACGTGCATGCTGCAGTCAGTGGTTTATAGCTCCACATATGCTCCTGAATACATAATAAGAATCAATAATATATACAAATAACAGATGGTATAAAAAAAAAAAACAAGGAGACAAATGACGAAAACGCAGTTTGTCAATATTAATAAATAATCAAAGTAATGAATGCTTAACGAGGTAAAAAACAAAACGACGTCACGTCAAAGGAATTCTATAAAAATTAGGTTTAAGACGTGATTTAAACGAAGTCAGTGACTCAAAAGAAATCAGTGGTTCTGCGATCTGTATCTCTTCAGGCAGCCAAAGCTCCCTGATGGCTAAAGCCGGGTCCGGATGGAGAGACAGTGAGAGGATTTTATTGATCCTCTAAAGGCTTTTCTTTTAAATACACTGTTTTAAAAATATGTACTGGATTTAAAATGTTTTTTAAAATAACAAAAACAAACGATTTACAGTTAGATACCGTAATAAAAGTGTCACAGTGCAAAGTAAAGGAGAGCTGGATGTGTAAAGTCCTCAGCCCTCTGACAGTAGATGCAGTAGAAACAGTGGAATCTGTTTGTTGGTTGTATTTGGCTGAACAGCACCGTGACTGAACAGCACCATGACGAGGTTACTCCTCCATCACAGGGGGCCGATGGAGACCCTCAGACTCGAGCAGATGACAGAATTCACGTCATACGGACCCTCACAGCCATGATTTGTTGAAGTTATTTTTTAAAAGAGTAAATAACACCACTTAGACTGTGTGTGTTAATCCGGTCTGCTGCAGCTCTAAAATACATACAGGACTGCACTCACGGTGAGTCAAAGGGACTGCAGCAATGACTTAAATGTAGAAGTGGCTCAGGTGCTTGTTTGCGGACCAGCATGCCATTCAGGTTTGTGTAACAAGGTGCTGCTTGTGATCGATCTGTCTCCCCCATGTGCTGCCAGCTGCTAAGATGATGGTGTACCTGGAGCCCTCCTCTGATAAGATGGCCTGTGAGATAGCTACGGCCCTGGATGAGTCTCTGTCTGGAAGAAGCATCCAGGTCTGTGATGATTCAGCACTGACAACAGACAGCTGCTTTAGAATGTGTCCACAGTAATTCAGGGAAACTGATTGTGTGTGTGTGTGTGTGTGTGTGTGTGTGTGTGTGTGTGTGCTGCAGATCTGTACTGAGGTGCTGGAGGCTTTGCGTGACGGGCAGCTGGGTGAGGGTCAGCAGAAGGCAGGTGAGGCTTACCGAGCTGCCTGCCATAAGATCTACCCCTACAGCCTGGCCTTCATGCCCCCTGGTTACCAAGACAACAGCACCACAATCAGTGCCAACGGCGACCTGTCGGCAGGAGAGCACGATGACATGGCAAACGAAATGTGAGCTTGGAGGAGGAGGAGGAGGAGGAGGAGGAAGTGGAGGAGGAGGTGCGAGCACGCCGCCAGACGCCTTAGTCCGCCAACACACCCATTTCCCCAAACCCCGCCTTCCCTCCAGTTCCTGGGCTATGGCTGCTGTGAGTCGCCCCCACATTGCACTGATCTGGATGGACTGAGCGCCACAGGAGAGGCAGGAAAGGGAGCTGGCACATGGAAGAAGATGATGCCCATTTAACTTTTTTTAAACAATAAAAAAGGCCCTGTCCACAGTTGTTCTGTAACTGAAGAAACGGATGAATACAGTATGGGGAGGCATGAGAGGATTCTGGGAAAAAAAATGGACATTGGCTGGGTTAAGATGGCTTCTGTGAACACAGTCTAGGTTTTCTATAACTCCTGTGTTTTCACGCCATGTCCTTCTTGTAGGTGCATCTGCTTCTCACCTTTTTAAAAGTAATTTATATATTACAAACTGACAAATGGATTAATAAAACAATGTTTGCAAAACCAAACAGTACCGTTGTGATAGTGGTGGTGAAGTCATTGTTTTTTTGTGAGCTGCAGTTTGTCTGCTCAGACCACACGAGGGCGCCGCCTGACATCGACGCGCTTATGACTCCAGGCTCATCCCGTTGCTCACCTGCACTTGGAGGTAGCTACCTTCTGATAACACCTCAGTCTCTGCCTCATGAGCTTTTCCAGCGGTGGTCCTGGATCTTCTTCCTGCATGCTGCACACGTACAGATTCTAGTCTCACAAAGAAGCAGCCACTGGAACCTAAAATCTTGAGTAAAACAAACATTTTTCACTTTGTCATTATGGGCTGTTGCGGGTAGGATGTGGAGGGGGGAGAAAAAAGGCTGTAACACAAAATGTGGACAAAGTGAAGTATTTTGCGGATGCACTGCAGCTTTCTAGAAACACAAACTGAAGCTGGGTGACGTTTTTATTTCGGTAACTACAGAGTAAAGCATGGTCATGGATTCAAATGCAGGTAACACAATTTGCAGGTAGATAATATTGCATTTTTATTTCAATCCGTAAGTTTGACAGTGTGGAAAAAGTGGAAGCTGCTGCAACACATAGAAACAAGCAGAACATCTGATCGACACAGTGCCTCTGCTGCATCACAGCGAGAGGCAGATGAAGGTGATGGAATTAGAATCAAGGGTGCCGATGATTCGAACATCCTTAGAGAGTAAGAGGTCAGACTTTACTTGTTTAAACCTCGAGTGTGTGCTCTTTGCCATAGAAGTGTGTCACCTGACGAACTCTTTAAGTCCCCAAGAGCAGAGGCTGTTTGAGTCCAGAAAGGCATTTAACAAAGAAAACGTCTTACAAATTCTGTAGATTTAAAGTAACCGGCTGTCCAGCAAATTCAGCCCAGAGCATGAAGCCAGAACCCTAAATCTCCTCAAAGGTTCTGTCTTTTGGAATGATGGGCTCTACACAGATAAGAGATGTTTTGAGATGTTTGCTGCAAACTGAAGAACCTCAGACCATCGGTTCAACGATGTAGGTCCTGAGCACACGACAGATTTACAGAGGAATGGGTCAGAAAGAAAAAAAGAAAGGAGGCTGGTGGGATGATCGAGTCAAAGCCCAGATTTAAATACTTTTGAAAAGAGGATTTAAAATGGGCAGAGCATGTCTTAAAACTCAAATATCTTGTGACTGTAGGAGGTTTACAGGAAAAAGCAGTCAGATATTTCATGAAGCTGACGTCAGGCTGGTGGACAGTCTGCAAAACACCAACATGAGGTTTTTTGCTGCTGAAGGGGGTAAGACTAACTTTCAAGGCATTTTTTCCACACGGCTATTACATCTATTGATAATATTGTTCAATAAATAATTAAAAGCTTGAAACGTTTTTACCGATGACTGTATCTCCACGTGCTTCTCGTAAGCGATTGAGTCCAAAATATGTGAAAAATGATTAATAATCATCATGTTTTGTATAATCTCAGAGTCCTAAATGTGAACGTATAATAAGTTGTTCAGCAGAGAAGAGGAGGTCGTCCAGCCGGACCTTCACAGTTTGGATCGCTCCATGTCCAGAATCTCCACCTGTCCAGGGTTCTGAGAGCTGAGGAAGGTGTGGTCCTGGTTCAAGTAGGTGGTGATGAACTCTGGGAAGTGTCTCTTCAGGACCACCTCCAGGAACATGTCGGCCGCTGTGTGTAGCATCTGTTTAGTCCTGAAGGCAACAGACGGACCGACATTGATGACAACGGTACGACAAAACTGTCGGCTTTCTTTCCAGCTCAGAGTTTTGACTTGTCATAATGTCTGCTCAGTTACAGTCAATGAACAACTGAACTTTTTAATGATGCGCTTGGTTTTTTCGAGCAAATAAAAAGCAAAGCAACTGCAAAGCTTCCGAGCATGGGACATTACCAGCTGGTAACACTAAACATCCGTGATTGGTCATGTGCTCTAGCATCTTCTCTGAGCATTTTAAAAAACCTGCAACTGCCTCAACACAACATGATGGCAGAATAGATGAAAGCCTTTAACAGCACGATCAAATTCAAGCTTCATTGAGTATTTAAGCAGAGGAATGATTTGAGAAAGTGATTTGCAATGAGATGGCCACATTAAGTTAATGATGATGTTGTATTATCCTAATTTGTCAAACTGTTTCTGCGATAGAAACACAGATAACAAAGGGCTGAAGGAATCTTTAGTTCTGTGGAATATTTGGATGTAAACGTGTCCAGAGAGATGTGTGCTAAACGTTTTTCATCAGCAAATATGAAATGTTAATTACAATGAGTGAGCGTAACGCATTGATTAGACCAGCACAAAGACCAGGGACATGTGTATCATCATGTGACAGACTTGTCCTTCAGGCTGTTCCCATTGGTTGATGGTTTACCTCTCAGAGTGATTGAGAGCGCTGAGCTCCATCAAGAGCTGTTTGGTGAGTTCAGTGACCAGCCGCCTGCTCACCAGCCGGCTGTCATCCTCCAGCTGAGTCTGGTGGTGGATCCACTGCCACACCTGACACACACAAGCAGTGTTAAGATCACTAATTCATACTTTAGGTCCCCGAAGCTTTCTAGTTCCAAATGAATGATCCAAAGTGTGAAAAAGTGGTGCTCCCCTCACTCTGAGTGACCAACGTTCTCACTGCTGGATGGATTGAACTTGAACTGTGGGCTCTCAAAACCTGACGCCACTGATGAGGATATTTCTATTTTGCATGCATTTTGAAATTAATACAACATTTTTTTTATATACAAAATAATTGTAGTGGGTTGAGGTGTCTGAGTGAAAAGTTGAATATGTGAAAAATCTGTTCATGAATGTCAGAATGTCTTCGGAGTTGTTTGCCCTCCTTCTGATTTAATGACAGCAACACTCGAGCTGCCCAAACTCTAACTACTTCCAGGTTTAAATGAAAATATGACATGTTTTCTATGTTCTGAGACATTTGGACCCCACTGTACATAGACAGAGAGGATGTTTGTTTTAGTGCCAGCAGATGAGGGTTTCTGTTTTTGTTTGTTTTGACTTTATCAGTAAAAAGAGCTTGTTGCATTTGGTTGGTATGAACTGGTCGAATGTCTCTGGATTTGCTTTTTTTTTTTTTTTTTTTTAAAAACCAAACACATCAGATTGATATCCACTTCCTCTACCCTAATTCTCATTGTTTGTTGTTCAGGCTGTAGAAGAACATCACTCAGAGGATGCTCATCATTTCACCAACCTGCGATCTGGAGATCTCTGCTGTGGCTGAATCTTCGACCTGTCCTCTGTAGAAAAAATGTCCTTTACCTTGAAAACAGAGCTTGGTTTTAGCAGCCAGTCTGCACAGAAAGGTGTTGACTTCCTGGACAGGGATGTGAGTGTGAATGCACTTACCTGAGAGCCAGGCATTAATAAAGAGGACACCAACTGCAATGTTATGCTTCAAACCATGAAGGGTGACTCCTCCCTGGGAAGAAACACAGTGCATCCAGTTATATTTTATTATTCCAGTCACATACAGCTGTAACAGAAAGTAACTCAAATGTACACTTATTTAACGTTTCAGATGTTCCACTGATGAAGCGCTTTCCCTATTTGTTTATGGTGCTAAACAAAGTCATATCATCTCAATGTTGAATAATAAAAGGCAGCATGCGCATTGCGCTTCAGGTCAAGTTGGCTAATCTCCATTTCATCAGATGATTCCGTTCAACAAAGATGCACGATTTCACGACAGTTCGTGAGTTCCAAGTGGTATTAAAAGGAGACAGGGACTTACTTAATTATATCATGACAGTTGCTTGAAAGCAAAGAGTCACTGTTTGTTTTGTTTTTATTTATGGAGAATTTGGACTAGAGTTTCATACACAGCTTGATTGGGTGGGTTCTGGCTGCAGACACGATGGCAGAACTTTGGCAGAGGTCAGAAAGTCAGAAAAGCAGTGAAAATATGCAAATCAGGCTCAGGGCAGCCACTGATACACCAAGTTTGCTATGAACAATGGGAAAGTTGCTGAGAAGTAGCACATTATGTTGTCGATAAGCCTGCAGCAGAACCCCCATGCAGCTGTCCTGAACCTCCACCTCGTTAGCGGGAATGCTCCTGAAAGTCCTGAGCGTGGACGTTGGGAACTGTGATCGCCCGCTATGACCTTTGTCACCTGTTTTTCATCCCTCCCCAAAATACTGTCTGTAAGAGAGTGGCGCCTTCATCCAGCTTCCACGTCAGTGCGCTGCAGCGTAGAGTCCAACAGAATTTGTCGGTCTGTTTAAAAGCTGATAGATTTGGACCCGTCAGCACCGTTTACTGATAAAGTCGATTACGGCTTCGTGAGGTGTTCTCTGCCGTTCAACAAATGGGAACTGAGCAACTGACCGACGGCATGGACAGCAGATCATCTGGAGTCACCGCAATGTCATTTCGAAGCTGGTGAAGCTGGTTTTCACCTTCAGTGTGGAGCTTGAAGAGCTGGATGAGGTGAAGGATGACCGTGGAGAGAAGAAGCAGCCACCGTTAGTCACTGTGTGCGTACAGACAGCTTCACATGGCCCACCGTCCAGGGCTTACCTGCTGCATCGGCTCGATCAGGTTCAGATCATACACCATGAAGCCGTCCACACCTGCCCTGATCTCCAACAGCTTCAGTCTGAAAGGGGGACAAAATAATGACTTGCTTTTCTGAATTTGGCGTTTCTCAGCTCAGTGCAGATTCCAGGCTTTCAGACGAGATGCTGATACTGTTTACTACGTGATTAATTAACATGAAGTAGCAATAATGAGGTCTAACAGGAACACTTTAATTAGAACCTCTGTCATCAGCTCAGTATGATGGACATGAGACGGCCTGTTTGACAACACTGTTCTCAAAGGTCGTTGTTTTTGGCTGAATCCAGACGTTGCTCTTCTCTGTGCAGCAGATAAAGTCATTTAGCCAAATAAATAAACGCAGAAACACAGGAAAGGATTGATTCACATCAGAGGCACATCGACACAGCTCCAACTAAACTGTAAAAGTGCATCAACTGGACTCGTTCTCTAGTTTTCCTACAACCATTTCCAACTCAAATGCAGCAGCTGCTTTTAGAAAACTGAGGAAGATATTCAGACTTGAACTAAAAGCAATGCCTGCAAAGTTTTAGACTCCCTAATGTCACGTACAGGCAATGTCAGCGTCAACTGTACCAGCATTAATGAACTCAGTGTTCCTGCAGTAGCAAAACCCCAGAGGGTGTTCAATCAGGGACGTGTGATATATATATATATAGCTTATGATTTCAGCTATTTATTTGTTAAGTTAAAAAAACAACTACTTTTTTAAAAGTTGCATGGTCTTGCTTTATGACAAAATTCTCATTTTCAGCCCTTGTTTTGAGTATGAGCTGTTTGTCATTCCTTCCAGGACTTTAATGTACCCAATAATTGTTGTTATTATTATTATTATTATTATTATTATTATTGTTGTTGTTGTTGTTGTTGTTGTTGTTGTATATAATATATGTTATATTGATTTAAAAAAAAAAAAAAGTGAGCTTTTACAAGATTGAATTTCCCTTCTGGGATAAATAAAGTATTTTTCATTTCATTCATTTCATAACGAGGCATGTTGTCTCTGTCAGTGGCCTGGACTGTTTAGTTCATAAAGCTGTGTGTGTTTTTAGTGGCTGACACAGTGATATTGTGTTCACCGAGGCCACAGTAAGTACACCAGGAAGTTTGACTTTTCTGCACTCATTGTGAGAAGGCATGTGTGGAAACATTTCTACCTCTTGACGGAAGCCAGCGCCGTCCTGTGGGAGTCGCTGATCGGGTCCTGAGGCAGCAGCGAAGCAGCCATGCCTCCGGTGGCGAGCGCTCCCCGCCGGTGGCACGTCTGAACCAACAGGTCCATGTAGCTGCGCAGGAAACGCTTCTCCATGTTGACGTATTTACTGCGGTCAGGCAGCAGGAAAGCCCGACGGTGACCTGCAGGAGGAACGCATGACCTTTTAGCTTTACTGGGACCTTCTCGCCTTCTGATAAAAGTCATTGTCGCGGTTTGACTCGCCAAACTTATTGACAAAGGAGGCCGAGTAATCCCAGATGCCACAGTTGAGTCCTGCTGAGTGGTCCCGGAGCTCATAGAGGATCTCCTCCATCTCAAACGCTGCCAACACATTTTCAATCAGCACCGTTGCCTTGATGCTGCCCAGCGGGAGGCCCAGCTGCACACACACA